CCTTCCTTCCTTCCTTCCTTCCTTCCTTCCTTCCTTCCTTCCTTCCTTCCTTCCTTCCTTCCTTCCTTCCTTCCTTCCTTTTATTGTAAGCCCAAGAACATCATTGCCTACAATTGTAGTCAGTCTTTATCAAGTATGTCCCTTCCATTGACTGTATTGGCTGAACATTTTGGAAACGGTTATTGCATCACCTCTGAATGACATCAGATTAGGGAAAGTAGGATTGTCACCTGATCACTTTTGGGCTGAGTTCAAATATCACGTTAAGCAATGTGATATCTGTTTAACTGGCATTCAGTGACTAAATCACATTTATATAACTCATTTAGCAATACCAATTACCTGCAGACATCTACTTTAGCCCTGCCTAGTGATTTGTCCCAGCTCAATTCTTGCATTTTTTTAAAATGGGACACAGGGGTGCTGCAAAAACAAAATGTTAGATACCAGTATTGTTTATTTCCATGAATGTCTCTGGTTCTAAATAACCCCCATAATCTAGTTTAGAGGTGGTTTCAGTTCTTCATTAGAAAGTTAAGCCAACCTCCTGATAAAAACTAGAGCATCCTGCAACTGGGGGATAGGGAAAAGCAATACTGAAATTGTTGGGAGGCAGTATTTTCTTCATGTGTCCCCACCGTAGCACAACTATGTAGTGATCTGGCCTGTTTTGTAGCAGATTAAAACTCCCCATGGAAATCATTCAACACACCCACCAGAGGAAAAGATTGCCTGCAGCGTGCTCTTAAAATTCCAGATGTGTTCATCAGCCAGAGTTGGATATATTTTCATTAAGCCATAGATCATAGCTTACAAACCACAAAGCCTGGTTTATACATCATGTTAAGTCACAAACAAGCAACCATATGGTAACTTAGTATGATTCATGAACCCAGTCCTTTTCTGCTTGAAATTATGGGAAGAGAAGCTTGAAACCTGAGAACACCTTTCAAGACTATTGTTATCCTGCAAAATTTTAAAGGTACAATTAGGCTTTTAGAGAATAGAAAAATATTTCCTATTAATAAAATACACACCTGAACATTCTCTGTGTGCTGAGTATTAATTGTAGATCTTTCTGGGTTGATTTTGGTTACCTGGTACCATAAAGCCACCCTGAATATCTTCAAGAGCATCCTTATAATTAGTTCTTGGCCAGCTCCAGGAGTTGGTTTTGGCACTAAAAATAAATTCCAGAATAAAGCTCTGTGAAACTTCATAATATTTTTGTTCAGGACAGCAAGATCAAAAGGAGGACACAACTTCATTCTTTATTATAAAATATTGTGTGAAGAGGGGGAGAGGAAATGTCATTAATTATAGCTTGCTAAACAATCCTCTTGAAATTTTGTTTCCTGCCGATGCTAAAGGGACAGGACTAATCCCTATCCTTTCGCTCTTCCTCTTTCTTTTCTTTTTTAGCATTAGAGTTTTTGTCTTTTGCCAGAGTCTCCAGACTGAAATAGATATCTTTGAAAATCAGATGTTTACACCTTTACATTTCATCTCAACTGGCATCTTCCCTAGTTTACACCTATCAAATTTTGGAGGCAAAAATCCAGACTGCCACTAAAAGGCAGTGAGAAATACAAACATTTGTATTATTTGCCACCATCTAATGTTTGCTGGGTTTTTTCAGCCTGCATGTAGTAGTTCTAGTCTAATTCAGCCAACATACATTTAAATATGATGATCTAGTCTTACCCCCTGTTCAATGCTCAAGGCTTTAGGAACCCTATACCATTTCAGACAACTACTTGTCTAATCTTTTATTTAGAACCTTCATAGAGTGCATAGAATAACAGAGTTGGAAGGGACCTTGGAGGTCATCTAGTCCAATCCCCTGTGCAAGCAGGAGCAAATATTAGCCTCTACCTTCAGTGTTGGAGCACCCACAATTTCTAGAGGCAAGTCATTCCACTGATTTCTAACTATCAAGAAATTTCTCCTCAGTTGTAGCTTAGTTATCTCTTTGATTAGCCTCCATCCATTGCTCCTTGTTCTGCCTTCAGATGCTTTGATTGATCCCCGCTTCTTTGTGGCAGCCCCTTAGATATTGTAACACAACTATCCTGTCACCCCTAGTTCTTCTCTTCATTAAACTAGACATGCACGATTCCTGCAATCATTCTTTGTATGTTTTAGCCTTTAGTCCTCTAGTCATCTTTGTTGTATTCCTTCTAGAGTCTCAACTTCTTTTTTAATATTGTGGCAATCAAAACTGGATGCAATATTTCAAGTGTGGCCTTACCAAGGCATTATTAGGTGGCATTAACACTTCATGTGATCGTGATTCTATCCCTCTGTTAATGCAGCCTAGGAATGCATTGGGTTTTTTGGCAGCTGCAGCACACTGCAGCTCTTGTTGAAGCCACTAGGACTCCAAGATCCCTCTTGCAGTTACTACTATTACTGCTATAACAGAGACCACCTATTTTATATCTGTGCATTTATTTTTTCTTACCTAAATGTAGAACTTTACTTTTCTCACCACTGAATTTTATTTTTTAGATAGGGCCCAGTGTTTAAGTCTGTCAAGATCCTTCTGTCCCTTGAGCCTATCTTCTGGAATGTTGACTATTCCTGCCAGATGGTGTCATCTGCAAATTTGATGAGTTCCCCTTCTATCCACTCATAAATGATGACAATATTGAAGAACACTTGGCCTAAGACAGACTTTTGGGTATCCCACTGCATACCTCCCTCCATGTACGTGCAGTACTATTAAGGACTAAATGTTGAGTGTGGTTGATCAACCAAGAGGCCACCTGATGATTATGGTGCCTAACCCATTTTTTTCTATCTTATTAACTAATAGGTTGTGGCTACTTTATCAAATGCATTACTATAGTCCAAGTAAATTATACCATAGCATTTTGCTGGTCCACTAATTTTGTCACTTTGTCAAAGATATGCAATAAGATTATTGTCAAATCTTCAAATAAAAATACAAGTTTATTTGAAATGAACTGCTGTGTACCACACAGAATCACTTTCAGTGAGATGGGTGGCTATATAAATTTGATCAATTAATTTATTTATTTTATTTATTTATTTGATTTTCCAATTGTTTACAAGATAATAAGTATAAGTGTATACATAGTTGTGAATACATGAAATGGGTACATATAAGAAAAATAAAAGAATAAGAGAAACAATAGGACAGGGACGGTAGGCACGATGGTGCGCTTATGCACGCCCCCTACAGACCTCTTAGGAAAGGGGTGAGGTCAATAGTAGACAGTCTAAGGTTAAAGTTTTTGGGGTTTGGGGAAGAGACTATAGAGTCGGGTAGAGTATTCCAGACATGAATCAATGAATGATTATCATATAAAAGGGATTAAGTCCCACCAAATATCTATACTTCCCTCTATAAATGAAAACTGTTCTAAACCAAAATATAAGAAACTCCACTTATGGCCACATGATTAATGGTAATCTGGATTTCAAATATTTCAGAATTGGAGGGACACTCAATAATAACAATGTAGGAGGATTAACATTGGTCCATATTTTTGCTTTGCTGTTTCTTTCCTTATGGCTTATTTTGTGTGAACCTGGCCAAGTTGCCACAAAAACCTAGATATAGTTTTAGTTGTTTGTTAATTTTTCATGAGTCTCACATTGATTGGAATTTTAGTTGCACCATAACTATTTCTTATTTACTTCAAACTTATTTATGAACCATAAAGTTTAAAGCCAGTTCTCACATGTGGCCAAATCTTGGAGTGCTTTGCTGTTGCTTCAGACCTAGGGTTAGGGGAGAGAAATAGGATTACCTGAATAATCACAGTCACCTATTATGAGAACTATTTCACCAAAATCAGTTTAGTAGTTCTGGACTACATGACCACTCTGTCAACACTGTGCAATTGCACATATGAATTGAGTATATAGTATGATTCCGAAGTGAATGGAATGGAATATAGAAAAAAAAGAGCATAAATGGAGTTGGGGAAATGATGTGGGA